CGAGGAGGAGCGAAGGAATTATCTGGGTGCATTCGAAGTCGAGCGGCGGCTGGCACCTGCACATCACCCATTGCTCGCATTGAAAATGTTCGTTGGTTTGGAAATCCTGGAGAAAGTAGAAGTTCTAAGCATAACGAATCTATTCCAGTGGTTACATGTAGGCTATCTTCAGGAATCTTTTGACAATAAAAAGACCAGGAGGGGGGTGGGGTAGTCAAAATGAAAAACAGGTTGTTCGCTCGTGTCCACGATCCACGGAAGCCACCTCATGGGTGTGGCCAGCAAGGCTACTGGGGTTTTCAGTTGAGCCGGAGTGAGGTTGTCAGAGAAGAAGGTCACATCTCCAGCGAAAACCTTTTTACCTCCTCCCGCGCTCAATACGCCATTTTGAGTTGAGAATTTGGAGACATTTTGAAGGAAAAAACCTGGATAAACTGGTGTGGTGGGAAGTTGGTGAAAATTGAGCAGATTGGCAAGATAAGATGAGATTGAAAAAGGGAAGAGAAATCTTGTGAGCGGTCGTATTTCTCAAATAAATTTTCCGCCACTCGAAGTTCTTGTGCGTTATCGTTCTTCTTCATGTACCCGCTATCTTTTTCAACCTACTATTGTCCACTGGACACTGGACACTCACAACGATCTTCATAGACACGCCTCTTGCGTATTAAAATATAAGCTGTGTAACCGTGGCCGCTTTGCACAAACGTCGGCATATGCAGGGACTGGAAAGTTTTCCCTACTGCATCCAAAGACTGGGTCACCCACTTGTTGAAAATGGAGTACCGATTTCCAAGAAGATCTACTACAGAAAAAGAAAGAAAAAGAAAACAAAAAGGTTGTTCACACAAGTATCCTCTATCACTTTGGTCCTTTCAAGCAACTTTTTCCTATATTTCCATTAGGGTGCGAAATAGCGAAAAAATTCTAATTATGCTGATGTATTGGGTTGCCATATAGTTTAAAATTCGGTGGCCATAAAAGTGTTTTTCCTAACTTGCACTGATCAAATTCACCTCCTGGAAGGGCATTTCGACGGAAGCTTCATGGTATTGTGAATTGATCTTAGAAATAAGTTGTGGCGTGTAATAGAGATTCGTTCAAAAGTTCGAAAGTGTGATAATGTAGAAGACAGCTATTTGCGACTGTTTATTAAGTTCTAAGGTTGTCGCCAAACAATCAGGATAGGATAAGCACATTTTTTCGGTCAAGCTGACTAAAACCGTCCATTCCACCATTGAAGGCACATAGCACACGATAATCTGTCCAAAATCTTTGCACAAGAGAGCTAACAGGGTACTCAGCAGTGGGGAGAATGGCAAAATCCTGAAGTGAAACGGTAAAAAACTTCGGAGAAAAGCCTTTGCTCTAAAGGACTCAACAAGCCATTTTGGACGAGTATCCGTTGGCATCTTGCCAGTCTCAGCTACGGTAGATACGGCTCCACGTGTGTACACATATTTCCATGCAGCACCGTGGCCGTTTCATATCACACCCTTCGCTTCCCATTGTAGTACTATTGCAAGACGAAGCATGACGAACCTCAGGTACGGTCGTTCATTTGTAGGCGGGCGGACGCGGTAGGCGGCCGAGTCGGGTGCAGCTCAATAGGGCCTTACGGGGGTCCCTTTCCTTAATGTCTTAGGCTAATCCTCTACGCAGCGTCTGCTCATGGGCGCAGAATTCCATACTAGAAGGCGTATTAATCCTACTCGTCCTAAGGATTTATCGTGCCAACTGCCTTTAATGCAGGATGAATTCTAAGTCACGTCAACTTCGTCATCAGGGCACGTTCTGCCCTTGAGGAAATTTTGCAATATACGATCCCCCCTCAACGTCCCCTCTGGTACAACCCCCCCCCCTCTATATCCCACTTAGCATCTCCCACATTTTCACGCCCTTAAAAACCGCCCCTTTTCCGGATTCATTTTAATAAAAAGATCTCAGTGTACGAACGTATCCTCTCTTGAAATAGCGGACAGGGCAAATATTGTCGTTCGGGATCCCCAGCGACGGGAGGGGGCGTATTTTGGTCGCTTGGAGGAGACGGGTCGTATCGCCTCCGTTATTGGGACTATTTCCTACTTTGCCTCTTACGTCAACTCGCTATGTACTTTCAGCGCCTGCCCCACTCACGTAATCCTTTGAGAGGCGGGGACTGGAGGTTTTTCAGGGGAACTGGAAAAAAGATGGAAGGTGGTTTGTGAAAATAGGGAGTGGTGTTAAAGTTAGGGGATGCAAGGGGAGTGCGTGCATTGGATTCGATCTCGCGAACTGACATATCGTTACAAAACCGTCTCACCTCTACACCACCTGGGCTGCTTTCAAGTTTTGAACAACTTGCAATCAAATCTGTTCTTTTCAGGTGGTCGTTTCATTATCCACGGTGTAGTGATTGTTGGCCTTCCGCGGACAACTATTTGAATAATTGCATTTTCGCAGCAGAACTTTCTGAGAATCTCTTATTGGGCGTTCAGGCGACTCCAAGCATTGAAGAGCCGAGCAACTCCACATCAGAAAGTGTAAAAAAAAGCTGAACGGGCTTTGTTCATGGCGCAGCGATAAGAAACGTGCTACTGCAGACCTCTGCAGGTTTCCGTTTGGAGGCTTAGGGAGTGCTGGATGGAAACTAGTGACATGCTACACCGAGCTGAGTGCATGTCTCATTGTCTACGACGAGCCTATGAGCCCTATTCCAACCGGGTTCCCCTTCTGATAGTGGGATCAATGGGAAGTGACTGACTTGGTTTGATCAAGTAATTTTAGCATACTACCGGTTCCGATGCATGTATGCTTATCGTTTCCCCAATAAGCAGAGGCTCAGACTGATAAAGAAAATTTCAAACCAACAATGTTCAGGGCGCTTCCTGTCGCTGAGAAAATTTTTTGCAGAATGCGACTCCTCTCCTGCTTAGGTATAACTAGCGTTTTTCTGACGTTCCCAACTTCCTACCACTTTTTCCGATTTTTTCGAAAAAGATTGCAGTCAGTATTTCTCGAAATTCCGTGCCGTCGAGCGGGAAAGGGTGGGAAAGTCGCCACCCACTAACTTCCACTATTAAAAAAGTAGTATAGGAAGTTGCACTTGCGCCATCACCTAAGGGGGAGAGGAAGAGGGGAAGCGCTTGGAAAAAGTTCTCTTGAGTTTCCAAGACCAGATGCGACCCTCCTCTCGCATACAGACATGAACCTCCTTTGGAGCCCTTCAGCGTACAACGTCCCCTGACATATTACATCGAGGCCGACGAAGCGCAAAAAGCAGCACACGTTAATCACACGGACAGGATCGGGCCTACCATTCACAACTAGTGGACCACCTTTTTTCACCAGTCTCAGGGTTCTGATATAGCAAAGAGGAAGACAGCGGTAGGGCTAATTCTGCTCAACCGATCAGAGTGCGCTGCAAATAATGTTCTTCC